TGTCCGTCCTATTAATTCCTTTATTTTACTGACAATTCACATTTTAAATTTCTAAGACACTGTACTTAATATTTTGATATTCTTACTAGAAGGACTTTCTCTGAACATCTACTTTGCTATGTTACTGAAACTGAAAATTCACTTACATTAAGCTTTCATATATCCTTACACTGTTTCCCTATTTCTTTCCCCTAAATTTCCCAATTACAAATTAAACTCGTGAAGGCAGGAGCTGTGAAAATCATCTTTGTTCTTGAGTTCCACTACAGGACTATTTACAAGCAGCCTAAATGAAAACCAGCTTAATAGAGCAGACTCAAAACATACTGAATTTCCCAGGGGATGTTTGACCATCTGTCAAAAAAATCCTTCCTTTACCTAGAAAGAGATCAACTTGTTAAAATTTCATTGTTTCATTTATAAATAAAATGTATATATGTTCAAAGTTGTAACAACTAAAAAAAATTAAAAATTTCTGTGAATTTTTCTACAAGACTTTTTCTCTCAGAAATTATGCAAATACTACTTAGTAAATTTTACTGATATTACTTGGTTGTATATTTATTAAAAATATAGACAGTCCTCTCTAGGCCTCAGATAAGAAGGAGAAAATTGTAGTAGTCAACTCTACAGATAAAACTTTTACCACTCTTGCTAAAAAGGAGATCTCAATCTGTCAGACTTGCAAAAGAAAGAAGGTTAAATCCCAACAGAAAAGAGCTGAGAAATGAGTACAGATAATAGCTGATAATTTTTAAATGCTATATTATTTAAGTTAAAATATGTAAATAAAAGAATATTTTTTCAAGGAAAAAATATTCCTTATTTGTGACATCTAAAAATAAAAACACTTGAACTCATGCAGATATAGAGTAGAAGGATGGTTACAGGAGGCTGGGAAGAGTAGTGAGAGGGTAGGGTGGGGGACTTAATAGGTACAAAAAAAGGGCATGAATGAATATGGCCTAGTATTTGATAGTACAACAGGGTGACTCTATTCAATAATAATTTAATTGTACATTTTAAAATAACTAAAAGAGTATATAATCAGATTGTCTGTAACACAAAGAATAAATGCTTGAGAGGATGCATACCACATTTTCCATGATGTTATGATTAGGTGTTGCATGCCTGTCTAAAAACATCTCGTATACCCCATAATATTTACACCTACCATGTACCCACAAAAATTATTTTAAAAACTTCTTTGGTGTTCTTAATGTTCATGTTTCTGCTTTGTTAAAGAGGCAATTGATAAGGCCTGGCAAGAATAAGACAGCTATATCCCATCTTTGTAAAGATACTTAAAACAAAGCTGAATTATTCATTCTTATTTTTCCAAAAAGGCTTTCAAAGTATTTCAGTTTCTCCTGTAGGAATATAGGAACAATTGAACACAGATACCATAACATTTTATAAGAGATTTTAAAATATTTTTTATTTTCGGAATTTGCCAAATATTATATTCTCTTTCATTATTCAAGAGATATTTTCATAGCTCTATGAAGCAACTACCAAAGACAAGAAACTTCAAAACAGAAAACAACCATATCTTAAAAAATAACTTGAAATCTAAATTACAGATATTTAATGCATTAAGGATTTTAAAACTCAGAAGAAAATGAGCATAATCTGTATTATATTATTTCTAAAGAAAACAACCTCTGGCTGCAAACCAAAGCACAGCATTTGAGGGGGAAAATTAAAGATAATGGAGGGGTGGGTCTAACTACAAGTCCTCTTTCAGGCAAAACAATTTTCCAACATGCAACATATTCAAAAACACATTTGCTATATGTGTATAGTCCCACATATGTTCAGAATTGAGACTAGATATGTCTTACCAAGACAGGAGGAGCTGCTTCGATTCATGAAGGAAAGTGATTTCTAGATCTTTTTTTAATCTGTGAACCACTTAAATGAAGGTACTCTGTGTTAGTCACCCGAGATCATACCAGTAATGTCTAACACTGTCACCCTGGGGAATCTGGTACAGTATCTTCACATTAGTAAATTGTATAAAATAAAATCTCCTTCGAAGTTTCCTATTAAATAGTGGATATAGACTCATCATATTTTTAGTGCTGCTAAAGCATTTAGAATGAAGGGACTTTGCCGGTTTAAGAGAATATACTAAGGGATAACAGACACAAAACTAAGAACAGATATTTTAATTCAAGCCTAGGTAAACCAAGCATGGTCTGTTAATTTTGATAAAACTGATTAAGCAGGTTAAAGTTTTTGTTTTAAAAGCTTTAAAATTTTAAACATTTAAAGATTAGTTTGAAATGGACTCATTTAAGTTATACTAAAGCAATACTATATATTCTCTCACAAAGCACTACAACTGAAAGATGGTTTTTTAAAAAATTGCTTTTTACAACCAAGAATGAAAAAGTAGCTACAAGATAAGTTACAGTATTCATGAAGCTTTGATAATCTCAAACATGACACAGAAGAAATCACCTATTTGCCCATGAGATGAGCTATAATTTAGTCTCCAGGCTCCTTTGGCATTGTCCTTATGTAAACGCGGAGGAGTTGAAGCGAGCCTAATAATCTACATTTCTGTCTTCTTTTTTATTTTTTGAGATGTAGTCTCACTCTGTCACCCAGGCTGGAGTACCCGCAGGCGCGATCTTGACTCACTGCAACCTCTGCCTCCGAAGTTCAAGTGATTTTCCTGCCTCAACTTCCTGAGTAGCTGGGACTACAGACATGCACCATGCCTGGCTAATTTTTGTATTTTTAGTAGAGATGGTTTCACCACCTTGGCCAGGCTGGTCTCAAATTCCTGACCTCAGGTGATCTGTTTGCCTCAGCCTCCCAAAGCTCTGGTTCTACAGGCATGAGACACCACACCTGGCCCTTACATTTCTGCCTTTCTTAATAAACAATTGAAATATGTTAGGCTCAAATAAGTCAAAACAAATACCATCCTCTTTAAGAGACTACAATTGTACTTAAGGTAAAATTATCTTAAAGTAAACTGATATTAAGTCTTTGAATAAGGAAAACAATCTGGAAAATACACAATTTTTTGAATAATCTGATTCATGATAATCTAAACATATAACAAATAAAAATGTATTTTGACATGTGTGGGGTCAATAAGGAGAGTCAGAGTCTCCCCAACTCTTAAAAAGCATCTTAAAATGTCAGTAAGAAACCAGAGTACAAAAAAACTTAAGAATTACTTTCCAAGAATGATGAGGTACATTAACTTGGTATGAGTCAATATGCATGACAGAGATTCAGCCAGAAAATTAATGAGAATAGATGAAATTCTTAAATTGATTTTAAGCAATCATTCATTATGCATGTAATTTAACGCATTTAACTCTCCTTACAAAACTGCTTGAAGAAATCAAACATACCTATTATAATAATAATATAAAGGAGCACATTGTGAAATCACCAAAGCAATGATATAAGAATTTTGAAATCAGAGATAACAGTATCACCTAAGAAAACCTTATGAAAGAGAATAGATTTAAACTACACCTTCAAGAATGAGAAGTATTTGGATATGCAAGGGGAAGGGAGAAGGATATTTCACAGTAGAGGACAAGGACAAATAAAAGTATAGTCTCGCTGGGCAACAGTGAAGAAAGCTATCTAGCTGGATCCATAATGATGAAAAATACAAGATGAAACTGGAATAGTAGAGTAAAATCAGTCATACTAAGAACCTTGACTACTAAAGATTATGAAGCCTAAATTTATGCTCTCATTTTCTGGATTCCACTTGCTGGTCCAAATGTTGCTACATCAGACACACTTGGAGAGCTTTATAAACACATATGTTACTGTGCCTCACCCTAGAGATTCTGAAAGGGTGGGGTGAAATCTGTATCTAAGCAAGCTCCCAGGCGACTCAGACACAGGCAGACTTAGGTGCTACTGCTCTAAGCAACACTAAGTCACTGTCTTTTTGAGAATGAAAGTGACATAAATGTAGGCATCTCGCTAGTTTTTAAATTAAAAGCTTTAATAATAAAAAGTGGTACCTTCATTTAAAATTTTATATTTCTTTTTTATTCATATGATTTTTCCTCAGAGATCTACTTCATAGGACCCATGTGTTCTCTGGTCATGTACACCTATAAGAACCCTGAACCCATCATAATCTCACCAAAATATGTAAAAAAAAATAATGTTGTGTTTATTTGTTTTGTTAAGAAAGATGAACTGGTATGTTGTAGGGCAAGGTTCTAATAGCAGTTAGGAGGCTATGGTACCACTCAGTAATGCAGGCATAAAATGAGAACTCTAACCCAGGATGGCAAAAATAAGAATGAAAATAAAGAGGCAAATAAGAAGCTTGACACTTTATACCTTCTAAAAGAAAGCATAGAAAGTATCCTTTGCAACATTAGGCAAAAATTTATTTAATAGGAAAAAAAGTTTGAATCCTAGAAAAAAAAATTGGTAAATTGGGCCTCAATAAAATTAAAAACATCTACTCTTTGAAAGAAATCATTAAGAAAATAGGAAGGCATGCCAAGACTGGAAGAAAGTACTCACAATACACATGGCTATCAAAATGATATTAAAATGTATTAAAGAATCCTTAAAATGTAATAATACAAGCAAGACAATTTTCAATTGGGCAAAAATATGAAATGATACTCTGCAAAAGGAAGATGTCAAAGGTGGCCAATGAGCATTAACAATGAGGGAAATGTAAACTGAAACCACAATATGATACCACTACACACCTACTGGAATGGCTAAAATAAAAAAGATCAATGATGTAGAACAACTGGACTGCTCACACATTGCTATGAGGAATGTAAGAATGGTACAACTACTTTGGAAAACGGTTTGGCCATTTCTTATAAAGTAAAATAAATACTCGCGATATGACTTAGCAATTGCACTCCTAGGTACTACCCCCCAAAAAAATAATAGTAATAAGATAGTCCCAAAATGTCATTCTCCCTCCTCCCCTCCAAAAACAAAAAACAAAACAAAACATGAAAGCCACAACTTCCTACCCTGGCTATGAGGACTTGCTGGACTAAGAGATGGCTGATGCAAATCTTTGGTTGGCGTTGAATAAGCTTCTTTTCCTTGGCGCTGACTCATCTTTCCTGGTGTCAGAAGTTGAGATTCGTCACTATTTGCTACAACAGCTCAAGGGAAGAAGAGAAAAATAATTAGTACTAACGTCATAGATTTACATAATACTATAGCTAATAACATGGAATAAGATCAAAACTGAAATGGTCTTGGTGGTTACATTCATTTTACCAACTCAACCCTTTAATAAATTCTCATCTTGTTTTCTTGTTGGTTTGTTATTGATCCATGAAAAATTGACAGGTATGTGTGAGCCAAATATACAAATTACAGACATTATAAAAATGAAAATATATATCCAGCTGATAATGAAAGGCACCCTAAGGTTTTCTGTGTGCCTTTCATTGGGCTATTTACTCTCTATATTTACCAACAAAACAATAAGCAAAAGACAGTCATTTCACACAAAAAAAATTACAAATGGTCAATAAACATATAAAGATATCAGCCTCATTAGTAATCGGAAAAACTACAAATTTTTAGCAGTATAAAATGATATTTGACATTCACCAGAATGTCTACTCTGATTTCTAATTTTTCATGGAAAATCAGTATGGTAACTGTTTTAGAGAGAGGGAAACTTGAAAGTCAGAGATTGCCTTGCTGGAGGTTAATTAGAAAGTAATAGAGACAAGATTCTAACTCAGAAACATTTGGTCCCAAAGCCTGTCTCTTAGAGCTTGCTGTCCCAATAACCAATTTAAGTAGTGATTTGAAGTTGCTTCTCACCCATTTGGCCAACTTACTAATCTAATACAGGAGAGCAATTCTCAGTTTCAGAGAGAGGAAACAAAGTGAAAACACTCCATGAAGAAACAGGGCAAACTGCAAGTTCAAAGTACCTGAAGACCTCCATATTCTTTCATTTTATGTTTCTGTAATTTCGGCCTATAAAAACTTGAGTTTCATCTTAAGAAAGGCTGATTTACCAGCACTTTGGGAGGCCAACGCAGGTGGATTACCTGAGGTCAGGAGTTCAAGGCCACCCTGGTCAACATGGCGAAATCCCATCTCAATAGACCCCATTTTTCAACAGACGTTCATAATTTCACATCTGCATTTTTATAATCGCATCTTTTAAATCAAATTAGTTTAATATGTTTTCTATTATAATAAAGTTTTAAAAATTTTATTTCAGCTCCTTAGATTCCAAAGTAAAAATATGAAAACACTTACACTTTTCATACAAAATATAAAAAATCATTTTTCCAAGGCAATTTAAAAAATTATAGACTGATGACTCCCAACTTTTTATCTCCCACTAAACTGAAACTCACATACCCAACTGCCACCTGCTTTATAACCACCTCTTAATTATTTACAGGCATCTCAAATCTATCTAGAGTATAATTTTTGATTCTGCTCATCCTCCAAACCTGCCTCTCCGCAGTCTCAGTCTGTGCCATAACTACTCCCCTCCCGCTACTTTCTCAAGCCAAACCCTTAGATGTGTTTTTATTTTTCTCTTTTACCAAGAGATCTTTTTAAATCACAAATTAGATTTCCAGTATGCAGAAATATCCTCACTGGCTTCCCATTACATTTACAATAAAATCCATAACCTGAAGATTCAACACAGTCTGGCCTGCTTCTTGTTCCAACCTCATTCTCTACCACTCTCCTATCACTCACTTGGCTCCTGCCATAATCATCTTGTTATTTCCTCAAGAAAGGCCATCTTGCCCCGTCACAGGGCTTTATATCTTTTGCTCCTTCTACCTGGAATACTCCTTCCCCAAGTCATCACATTATTAGCTCCTCTCATTTGTTGTCTGGGCTCAAATGTCATCTCTTCAGAAAAGCCCTTTGGTTTCTTCATAATGCTTTTTGATACATTCTTAATTTTAACACAGCACAATTTAGCTTTTTTTTTTTTTAGTGTTAGTACCAAACACTTTACAGTAATTCTACCACTTTACATGATTTTCATTGTAGCACCTATCATTATCAGAAATGATATAGTTTATTTATGCTATTAAACATTAAATTCTGTGAGGAAAGGAAGTTTTGTCTGCCTTATTTTCCCATAAATTCTGAGATCCTGGTAAACTTTCTGCCATATTGAAGGTGTTGCTTCCTAGCATACTAAAGATGTTCAATAAAATTCTGTTGAATAAATCAATCAACCTTTATATTTTTATAAAATATCATAAAGTATATGGTGTCTCTATCAGTTACTAAATCCAAGATTTATTTGATTCCTAAAGATAATTATAAAAAATAATTTTAAATGTATGGTACTGATGCAGAGAGAGCTAAAGAGCATAGCAGATAGCTTTCAGAAACAGACACATATACATATATATGGAGCCCAGATATACAACAGAAATAGGGAAAATAAATTACTCAGTTCATGATATGAGGTTATCAACTGGTCATCAATATTGGGAAAGTAGATAGAACTCTACTTCTTACCACACACAAAGAATAGTTCTATGAAGACTACAGACATAATATAAAAAGCAATACTTGAAAACCTTTAGAATAAGAGAATATCTTCATAAACTTGAGACAGAGATTCCCTTAAAAAGACACAAGAAAGCACTAACCAAAAAAGTAAAAAATCAGTAAGTTCAATATTAAAATTATAAATTTATTTAAAGGTATAATAAACTGAAAAAGGCACAAAACAAGATATTTCCAACACCCATAATTAACAAAAGGTTATTATTTAGAATGTTCTTAAAAAATAACTTCTATAAATCAATAGAAAAAGAACAACATAATAGCAAAATAGGGCAAAGACCTATTTCATAGAAGAAAAATGTTTTCATAGAAGAAAAATGAAAACAGGCAATAAATGTATGAAAAGATGTTCATCCCCTTTAGCAATGAGGCAAATACAAATCAAGATAATAATCAATTTTTATATTCAGTAAGATTAACAAAAATTAATGTCTGATAATACCAAGTACTGAAGAGGATGGGATCAACGAGATGCCTTAACCACTGTCAGTGGAGTATAAGTTGATACAAGCACTAAGAAAACAATTTGAGCTTCTTATATAAAACTGAATACTCTGTGGATCCAACAATTCCACTCTTGGTATCTAGAAAAACTCATACAGGTGTATACCAAGATACAAGAATAAGAATGTTCACAGCAACCCTGTTCATAATAGCAAAAACCAAAACAGTATATTCATCAACTGAAAAAAAAATGAATTTTAACAAATTGTGGTATATGCATATAATGAAAATATAGCACTAAAAAGGAATGATCTAGTTCTGTAAATAACATATTTGAATACTGAAAATAAAATGTTAACTAGAGCCAGGCATAGTGGCTTGCATCTGTAATTCCAGCTACTTAGGAGGCTGAGGTAGGAGGACTGCTTGAAGCCAAGAGTTCAAGACTACCCTAGGCAACATAGCAAGACCTGTCTCAAAAAAAACTTTTTTAAAAGTTAGCTGGGCGTGGTACTTCACGCTGCAATCCCAGCATGGCAGGCATCTGTAGTCCCATCTGCTAGGGAAGCTAAGGTGTGAGCACACTTGAACCCAGGAGTTCAAGGCTGCAGTAAGCTGTGATCACACCAATGCAGTCCAGCGTGGGCAACAGAGCAAGACACGTCTCTTTTAAAAAAAAAAAAAAAAAAAAAAGCTAACTACAAAAATCAAATCCTAGAAAATTATATAAACCATGATGCCATTCTTTTAAAATTAAAAACCAAGCAAAATCTTGTAATACATATGTGACTAAAAAATTAAAAATGTATTTTTTAAAAAGCAAGGAATAAAAAGAAAAAAAAAATACAATCTATTCATGCTCTCTTGGGGAAGGTTCAGGGATAAAAAAGCAGCAGATAGAAAGACCTAAGATATATAGAAGATTCTAGTTCTTAAGCTGAGTGATAGGTCATTTAGTGCTCATTGTATAATTATGCTCCCATTTACATATGACACATATTCTTTTGTATGTAATCAGACAGAACATTCAATGCTAATTTAAAATACATTAAAAGAACTACTATCAGAATCAATGTAGGTTTTAGTATTCTATCAGTAAAACTTAGGTGTCTATGTCTTGAATAACTTTAAAAGTCTGAAGAGTAAAGTTAGCTCTATTCACCCAGGATTTTGATAACCATGAAGTAAGAGAGCATGCAGAAACAGCATTATACAGAGTACACCTCTTTACCAAAAAAACCCAGACAGCCCATCTGTCTATTTGTTTTCCCTCACCCCATTCACAAGCATTAACAACTATACAGACAAAAGAGGCTGAGGAATATAAAAATCATTATGACGTCCTGTATCAGTAATAAAATAGTAGACTATTCAAATATAAGTTTAAGGGGGACAGTGACTTTTATTTCTGTATCCCTTGGCATATAACTGATACTCACTAAATACCCTCTAAATGACTGAATAGATATTTGGCAAATGAATCACTGTGTGATTCCAGTGCAGTTTCACTGACTCACCTACCAAAGATAACATTACAGTGCCCTCTGCTGTTTCTACTTCAAGTAGAAGTAAAGTAGAAATGACACTGAAATAGTAAATATAATTAACATACCTGCTGCTGCATCTTCTGAGAACATGAATCCAAAACTAACATCTTTTACCTTCCAAATTCAATTCATCAATATAAAATTTGAAGAATTTTACAAGTTTCAAAGTCTGCGTTTAAGTGGAAGTTAAAATATGATGAAGTAATTTTTTAAAGTCATAAATAATAATCTGGATATAAATCCAATGCCTCTTTTTCTTCTAAGGTACACCTTTTCTTAAATACTCCAATAATTTAAATGTCAGTGTAAGCACGTAGTTTTTTTCACTCAATAGTACAGATACTAATCAAGTACCATGAAATTACAGTTGACCTTTAAGCAGTCAAAAATGTGCATTTAGGGACTGGGTGTGGTGGCTCACGCCTGTAATCTCAGCACTTTAAGTAAGAGACCCAGCATTATGGGGGCCCAGCATTTTGGGAGGCGGGCATATCATTTGAGGTCAGGAGTTCAAAACCAGCCTGGCCAACATGGTGAAACCCATCTCTACTAAAAATACAAAAATTAGCTGGGTATGGTGGCACATGCCTGTAATCCCAGCCACTCAAGAGGCTGAGGCAGGAGAATTGGTTGAACCTGGGAGACAGAGGCTGCAGTGAGCCAAGATCACATCACTGCACCAGGTGACAGAGCAAGATTCTGTCTTAAAAAAAAAAAAAGTAAATTTAACTTTCAACTCTCCAAAAACTTAAGTACTAATAGCCTACTGTTTACTGTTGACCAGAAACCTTATACATAACACAAAGAGTCAAATTAACACATATTGTGTATGTTATATGCATTACATATTGTATTATGTAATACAGTATATACATAAGCTAAAGAAAATCCTATTAAGAAAATCATAAGAAAAAAAATACAATTACAGTACTATACTGTATTTACTGATACCATGTTTATGCCATCTATTTACAAGATGAATCATCAGTTTGAAATAGCAGCAACTGCAGCTGCAGACCACAATCTACAGCTAAATATTAAGCAATTAGGTCGGGCACGGTGGCTCATGCCTGTAATCCCAGCATTCTGGGAGGCCAAAGCAGGTAGATCACATGATCAGGAGTTCAAGACCAGACTGGCCAACACGGTGAAACCCCATCTCTTACTAAAAAATACAAAAATTAGCTGGGCATGGTGGTTCGTGCCTGTAATCCCAGATACTTGGGAGGCTGAGGTAGGAGAATTGTTTGAACCAGGACCCTGAGAGGCAGAGGTTGCAGTGAGCCAAGATCACGCCACTGCACTCCAGCCTAGGCTACAGAGCGAGACTCCATCTCAAAACAAGAAAAAAAAAAATTAAGCAATTAAACTTTTTCTTGTAATGTCATGACGTTTGTCTGCTTCTTGGGAGCACTTGAAGCATCACTCGTGGTACTTCATATGGGTCTCATAGTGTTATTCAAGGTTTAGAATACTGCACGAAACATGATGAAAATAGATAAGAACTGTAAGAAATGACTTTCTAAAGCAATATGCAATTTACTGGAGCAAAGAACTGTTCATGAAGAGATGATTAGCGTCACACAGCATTTTAAGTAGATGATACTCGCAACACCTGAGCTCATTGTAGTAACAGGAAGTGGCTAGAAAATCATTACCGTAGTATGATATGTACTAGTTAATGTTATACAGTTATGATTTAATACTGTATCTTTATGTTTGCTGACATTTTTCTCAACTGGGAATAGCATCGTGTACAGTTTGTGTGAAAGTTCTGATAAATTTTTATTTTGTAATAGATTTGTGTATATTTTAGAGTAGTGAGAAAATAAACTAGTACCTACATAATTTTATGCATTCATGATACACCAAACCTTTATTTTTTCTGTTTCTTAGCTACACAGTTCATCTGTGAGTTTTAAATTGTCACAAATCTCAGAAAAAATTTCCAATATATTTATTTTAAAAAATACACATAGAAGTGGACCCGTGTAGTTTAAAGTTGTCTTGTTCAAGGGTCAACTGTACTTCACTTTAAAAGACATACGGTCTCTAATAAATGACTATACAGCTCCAGCTTTTTAATATTTGGGAGAGTATATTCTGAAGTCATCTCTAATATTATGTTGTCTATTTTTATTTATATATGCTTGAAATATATAACCTTAAGTAAATTTCTTCTATTCCAAGTAAAAAAGATCTCCATTTATAAAAACCCTGTTCCCAAGATAAAATACTTCAGTTAATATTTAAAATGCTATTCTATTTATAAGACTCAGCAGTGCCATTCAGTTCACCTGAGTCAATGTCTAAATATACGAGGTAATTAAAGAAACTGAAGAATCCACTGAAATCATAATGCCAAGTATCACAAGGTTGAACAACAAAACATAAAAATATTTTGAAGCTTGGTGCAGTGGCTCATGCGTGCAATGTCAGCATTTGGGGAAGCCAAGGCAGGAGGATCACTTGAGTCCAAGAGTTTAAGATCAGCTTTGGCAACACAGGGAAACTCCCATCTCTACAAAAAATAAAAATAAAAAAATTAGCTGGGTGTGGTGGCACATGCTTGTAGTACCAGCCATTCATGAGGCTGAGGTGGAAAGATAATCTGAGTCTGGGAGAGGTTGTGGCTGCAGTGAGCTGTGATTGTGCCACTGCACTCCCTGTCTCAAGAAAACCAAAAACAACATTTTGAGATTTGTGTTTTTTTTAAAGATTTCTACTCCTAATGATGATTGTATAATAAATAGTATTTATAAAATATTGTGAATTATTGAATTTAAAAATGAAAAATGGGCTAGGCACGGTGACTCACACCTGTAAACCCCAGCACTTCAGGAGACAAAGGCAGAGGATCACTTGAGACCAAGAGTTCAAGAACAGCCTGGGAAACATAGCAAGACCACATCTTTACAAAAAATTTTAAAAATTAATTGGGTGTGGTGGCACAAGCCTGGAATCATAGCTACTCAGGTGGTAGGAAGATCCCTTGAGCCCAGAAGTTCAAGGTTGCATGAGTTATGATCATGCTACCGTACTCCAGTCTGAGCGACAGTGAGTCCTCTGTCTCTAAAAATTAAGAATTAAAAAAAGGAATTTAGCATATTACTTTAAATCCTCTCTTTTTAGAAAACAAAATACATACATACTACAACCAGTTAGAGAGAAACAGCAACTGATCTAGACTAAAAATGTTTATAGTTAGAAGAAACCTTTATCATTATCTCATTCAGTTCCTTTCCTAGATCAATGAAATATAAGTCCCAGAACAGTAAACTGACTTGCAATAATCAGATAATTAAGAATTTAATTTAGGAAGAATAAAACTTCATAAATCAACATAATTTCCTATATTGCTAATCAATAAAATTAAAATCTTCACCTTATTAATGATACAGTCAAATTTTAACTGTTTAGTTATACCTGAATGCAGCAAACAAACAGCTTCCTTCTATTTTTGAATAACAATAGAAGGAAGACACACTGGACTAGTAACCAATTCTAACTTCTCGGATATTTGTGCTATCCTAGCTTCAGGCTCTCCTCTACAAAATTAATGCTTTATTAGATAATATCTGAGGTTCCTTTCACCTCAGCAATTCTATGATTTTTAATATAAAAATTGTCCCTCTTACTCCCTAACTAGACTATAAAAATTTTTAGGGGCAGGAATAATGTTTTATTCATTATGTATCTCCAAAAGTTGGCACAGGGTCTGCCACTCCCTGCCCCAAAAAGCTCTCAGCAAAATCTGTTGAGGTGATTTGGATATAATCTTCAAGGACACATCTTCTAAATCCCTAAGGCAAAACCTGTTTCACTTCTAAAATACCCAAGTATGAAACAATTTTCATACTCAAATGATTATGTAAAAATTCTGACAAAAGTGTTTCTCCCTTTCAAATGGCAGTGAAATCCTTGTGCTACATCTATGCCTTGTAATAACTGTAGGAAGAAATACTACAAAAAAGAGTCCTAAATTATAAGTTAGATAACTAAGTAAATAATGCATCTTTAGATAATCAAGACATAAATATACAAACATGGCCTATAAATTTCAGATGGACAATAAGAACAGATGGGCACCGGGTACTAAATGACCATTTATATTCTTTACTTTGTATTTCAATTCCTGGAAAGAAAAGTAGAAGACTTAATAATTCAAAATTGAAACACCATTTGGCTTTCATAATAATTACACATCAAAATATTATCATGTCCCCAAACAAGCCGTTCAAACTTTAACTACTTACTTGATGGCCCAAGGACATCTTTGCTATCACCAAGAAGCTTTTAATGCAGGGTAATTGAGCAGCAAACAAATACAGTCCAAATCAGGAAGAAGCAAAATGCATCAGGATGGAAACAGCAGTGAAACAAAAGGACAAGGAAAATAGCATTAGTTTATAAGTAGAAAGCACATGCACATCAATAGTAATAATCGTAGTAATTTACAAGAAACTTCCTTTTCCACACACAAAAAAAGATCTCGGATTAAGCAGTATCAAATATTTGTTTTGTTTTTGGAAAATGAAGGTGGTAAGAGAAAAATAGAATCACCTGAGTATTTCGTTTTTAAAATTAAGTCAAAAATTACTTTCGATTATAATTCAAGAGTTAGTAATGATAAAAAAAATATGTAGGAATTTAAGTGACAGCCAAGTTATGCATTCCTTAAATTTAAGGTGGCTTAAAAATATGTAACACCCATGCACTATTAAAGATTAGTTCTGCATGCCGGAAAGCACTTAACACTACATAGAGATTTAGTATGTTTCTTCCACAAAAGAGTAAAGAACATTTATTAAGTGTTTGTTACATGCCAAGCATTGTGTGAAAAGCGTCTACAGAGACATCAACAAAGCAACAAATTTTTTCTCAACTAGCAAAAAAAGAGAGAAATATTCATTAGAAAGAAGTTTTATTAAGTCAGACAAAATTTTCTTAGGGCCCACTACAAATCAAGCATAATATTTGGAGTTACTGGTCTTTGGGAAGTCAGAAGACCCAACACTTCAATGAAGAGCTTGCAATCAACAAAAGAAACCGGAAAAAGGCTGCTGACCTTTTGTTTATTAACTATTTTAACATAAATTACTCTAAATGTTGCCTATAGGCAGGTGCTTTGGTTCTGGTAGGAACAGAGTTCTCAGCTCTCTTTCATTTTAAATACCAAATACAGTAACATATCAAAACAAATGCAATAATAGAAACAAAAAATTCCCAAGAATTACATTATTTGGTCTTAAAGATACTTGAGGATCTTAATTGGCTGTGACAAAACAAGTTAGCAGTTGTCTGCTTGCTTTGGGCTTTTGTCACCTCCTTGAAGAAAATCTTGGACCTATTCCTCCCTAAGTGGTGGCTTTTCACAATACTTGAAATGGTCTTCTAATGCCTTGAAGGCATTTATTTGCACTGTAATCCCATTTAATCTCATTCTTTTAGTTTTACAAACTAAAGTTGACAAAGTTATATTCTCCTGGGCTCAAGTGATCCTCCAGCCTCAGCCTCCCAAAGGGCTGGGATTACAGATGTGAGCCACCACACCAGGCCCTAAATCACTTCTAATGAACAGAATACAGTCAAAGTGATGGGATGTCTCTTCTGAGATGAGATTATAAAGAGACTGTGACTTCCATCTTGCATGCAGTCTCTCAGTCTCTTGTAGATAGATTACCCTGGGAAAAGTCAACTGTCACTTCACATGTCAGCCTTGTAGAGAGGCCACTAGGTGAAAGAAGTATGGTGTTAGTGAGGTCAGCAAAAACCACAACTGCACTTGGAAGCAGATCTCCCACCTCCTCAATCAGTCAGTTTTTGTTTGTTTGTTTTGAGATGGAGTCTCCCCTGTTGCCCAGACTGGAGTGTAGTGGCACCATTTTGGCTCAGTGCAACCTCTACCTTCTGAGTTCAAGCTATTCTGCCTCAGCCTCCCGAGTAGCTGGGACTATAGGTGCATGCCACCACGCCCAGCTAATTTTGGTATTTTTAGTAGAGATGGGGTTTCACTATATTGGCCAGGCTGGTCTCGAACTCCTGACCTCATGATCCGCCTGCCTTGACTTCCCAAAGTGCTGGGATTACAGGTGTGAGTTACCATGCCCCGCCTAGTCAGTCTTTCAGTTGAGACTGCAGCAGTGCTCAATATCCCCATTATCTTGACTGCAACTACGTGACAGACTAAGAGACCTCTAGCTAAGCTGCTCTTAGATTCTGATCCATGGAAATTCTGAGATAATAAATGCCTGTTGCTTTATGCCACTTAATTTTTAGATAGTTTGTTATGTACCAATAACTAACATAATACTGGAAAACTGGAATAAAGTTAAGCTAACAGAAACAACTGTGGCAAACTTTACAAATGCTTCATAGACAACCTCTAAGAAGATCTTCCTGAATTGATATGAATAAGTATGTAGTTTCCCTAGATTTATCAGTAACTTCCTAAAGAAAAGCAGTGGTTCTAATCATATGTATACATAGCTGACAGTTTTTAATTTCACAAGGCCAGTCATGTTTGAAGATTTTACAGTTCAACTTCTATTTAGAGTGAAAGATTAATAAGCTCAACTTTCATAGTACAGCTCTATTATATTCTCATATTTTGTCAGTTAACAGCACTATGTCAACTGCTATTCAGCTGTATTCCTTGTTTATTCACAAAAAATAATCCCTGGCATACAACAACTACTGAATATTTGTTCCAAAAGCATTCAAGCATAGTTACTCATGACATTATCCTCAAGCATGTCCATGTTATATAAATCTGATTCTAATGGATCAATCCTATTTTTTTCAACTTGAGGCACTGAATAATAATCAAAACAAACATTGTTTTTTCCAATCATTCATTCATTCATCCATTTAACAAATATTTACTTAGTAAATACTGCTGACATACATCATTTAGACACTAAGGGACACAGCAGTAAACAAAACAGACAAACATCCTGCACTTGGTTGTTATGTGGACCAAAGTGTTAGCAGTGAAGGTGATGAGAAGTAGTTGAGTTTCCAATGTATTCTGAAAATAGAGCAAACAAGATTTCCAAATAGACCAAATCTGAGATAAAAGAAAAAAGGCAGAAACAAAATGACATCAGGTATTGGGGTCTGAGCACCTAGAAGGATGGGACTACCATTATCTGATACAGAAAAGATAGTGAGAGCAACTAGTATACAAGGAGAAATATAAGGAGCTCAGTTTGGGTCAAATTAAGTTTGAAATGCATGTCAGACATGCATCCAAGTGAAAATGTCAAGTAAGCAGTTGGAGATATAAACCTGTACAGAGTAAGGTTCAGGCTGATAAGAAAAATATGAATTATGATATGTATGAGAGTTATATTATATGACCTGAATTGCTTAATCACAAGACATTGAAAAATGCCGTAGAATAAAAGAACAGGCCCTAGAAAAACAGATATTATCATGGACAACACAACTAAGCATCACACTCAAGCACTGCAAATGCAAAGCTGAACACAATGAAAAATAAGCATAGCTTCAGAAACCTTTCTCAAAAGGATATGGATACAAAAGCACTAAGCTGGGAGTCAACTGAAATCATCCTTCCAGAGTTGCTTGTAAATGATGCCAATGGGAAACAGGACCTAAATACCTGAGGATTACATATCAAATTTCCAAAGTAACATACATCACTGAAGTCTTCTGCACATGGCTAAACTGCACACTAATTTCTTATTCTTACCATTTTTAGGACCTGGGTCAAATTTGTACAGTATCATGTTGTATTACACATAAATAAAAACAATGTAAAATTGATATAGAAACACTCTACACAATTACCTTGTACAATATTTAAAAACTAAAAAGCTAGGCACTTTTCTTGGTTTCTGTTAAAGAACTTAAATACAGCTAGAATCTCAGAGAATCCAAGAACAGCTTCTCAGTTTATTCAGAAAAAGGTCATCATGAGTGCCTATAACCCCAGCTATATGGGAGGCTGAGGCAGGAGGATTGCTTGAGCCCAGGAGTTCAAGGCTGCTGTGTACTATGATCCATGATCGCACCTTTGAACAGCCACTGCACTCCAGCCTGCGCAACATAGTGAGACCCTGTCTCAAAAGAATAAAAAAAAAACCAGTTTCTCTAATTGACTCTATTTAGAGTAACTTATGTTTACCATTATCCCATAGACAGTGTCCATACAGTTATCTCATTAATTTTGTTATATAAAAGTATATCAATAATTAAAATTTCAGACATCATACTATCAAAGTATTTAAAAGCATGAAATATTTATAGCCATTACCCAAATCTTTGCTGATTTTCAGAAATAGAGCACTATGCAAAAAACATGATTTTACTATATGTCTAAATATTTGCTACCTCATCTATAATTAGCATTAAATATGCAATCTTTAGGATATACAAACATCTTCATCCTGGGAAACATCTCAGTCTCAAACCATGATGGAAGTTCACCCAAATAATACAGAAGCAATCCCATGCAATCTACAGCTTTGATTCCATTTCCTTTGGCACAGCACTTCCCTCTTAATATGCATCATGGCTTGATTTAAGTCATCTGACTCATGACAAAGAGCTCATCAAGCACTGATGTAGCTAGTGGCACCTCTTCACCCAGTAAAGTTGGTCAAATTGTTACAGAAGCAATCCTGTTGCAGCTGGCTCAGAAAAACAATAATTCAGATGGATTATACGAAACATCTGAAGAGTGCTCTATTTAGTGTTATCATAGGCCCTTAGAATAAGAAACTTCAGAGAGCTATATAGTGCAGCTGAGAACTGTTTGTTCTTTGAACAGGAGTCATCACTCTACACTTAGCTGAATGTTTAATATTCCTGTAATCATCTGCAAAACACACTTGTGTACATTTTAACCTTGAGTTTCATGGGAGAGATTTTAAAGAAGTATGTTTCTGGGAACTACAGCTTATTACTGTTGGATAAAGAATATGATCTGGCCTGCCAAGCGGTTATTTTAAAATAATCTAATTGCACTTTTGATCCAGCAATTCCCCTTCTAGGAATATTAATAAGAGGATCATATAAAATGTTCAAAAAGATGTGTCCATGGATATTTACCACAACACCATTTACCGTAATCTAAAGAAGTAATTTGCTTTAAACAAGGTAATAAAATACCTTCACACAATGAAATAGCACATAGTCATTAAAGTTTCTTTTTCCAGCCGGGTACATGGCTCACACCTGTAACCCCAGCACTCTGGGAGGCCAAGGCAAGAGGATCACTTGAGGTCAGGAGTTTGGGACCAGCCTGGCCAATCATCTCTACCAAA